TTTAAAGATGAAAATGTACCAGTGGGAGAGTCTGTGTGAAGTTAATGGTGACCAGTTAACCAGTGGATACTGGGTGCAGTGGTGGGTACGGTAGTTACAGCCAGTTATGAATCTTAGTGCACCATGATAGACAGCATCCAACATCTGCAGCATCCAACATCTGCAGCATCCAACATCTGCAGCATCCAACATCTGCAGCATCCAACATCTGCAGGGTTCTTGTAGGAGCGTTCATGCAGATCATGTCTCTGTAGTCACCTCAGAGCTGTAAAGATGCATCAGGGACGCTCTGACCTACGTCACGCTGAAGAACAGATTTCAGGAGATTCTCAGTGAAACTTCACGTCTTGTCTCGTAGTTTCTTGTCTCTGACCGGCCTCAGTCCAGGAGAACTCTGTCTCTGAACAGAAGATCTTTGAGTTTTCCAGGACTCTGACAGGAAACACTGCTCAGTTGCCAGAAATGAACTTGGGATCAGTTCATTCCAGCAGCGACTGAGCGGTCAGATGTGGTGGAGCAGAGCGGTAATTTCTCTCCGTGTGTAGAAAATAACACGTTTAACCCTTAATTGACTTCCCACAGGAGTTTAAAGTCATTATGGTGGGACCCTGAAAGACCCACAGCCAGGTCTGATCGTTAAAACTCTGAGAGGACGCGTTGGAACCGTAAATTACCTTCAGCTCTTTTCAACTTCCTGCTTCTCTGTAACGTTTGTCTCCAGAGCAGAAGTTTCACATCAGATCATGTGGAGGTTTTAGGAGACGATGCCGAGGTTCTCAGAGGGCTGACGGTTCTTCTGGGTCACCTTTCAATTTTTAATTAAGTTGAGGTTTTTAGTCAAAGTGGTCTCAGACTGAAATAAGTTCCAGAGAAGATCCAAAAACAGCCCGAGCAGCACGCGACCACCTCAGATTGTTAGTTTAGTCTAAACTTAGTTTCCTGCCTTCATCATGAAGACGCCTGAAAGCAGCAGCTGCTCCTCCTCGAGGAGGAGAAAGACATCTCTCTCCACAGCCTCCTCGTCCAGCTCTTCTCTGAGGTGTTCCAGAGCAGCCAGACTTCAGCTTCATCATCTCATCCCAGTGCTGCGTCCTGCACCATCATCTCCAGTAAACGTGCTCATCGTCCAGCTCACGCTGAATCACAACATCTGCTAATAAACTTAGGGAGGTCGGCACCTCATCACTGGTTCCCCCGGTCTCCTCCTAGTTGGACAGGTCCAGAACACCTCCCCAGGGAGGCGTCCAGGGTCCATCCTCACCAGATGTCTGAACCTTCTCAGCTGTTTCTGGATGTGGAGGAGCAGCGGTTCTACTCCGAGTCTCTCCTAGAGAACTGAACTTCTCACCTGATCTCTAAGAGAGTCCAGCTACCCTGCAGAGAGGACTCCTTTAGACCTCCTGGGTCCAGGATCTGGTTCTTTCAGGCTCTACCCAGAACTCAGGACCAGAGATGATCGTAGGAACACAGACTGGTCAGAGAGCTTTGCCTTACAGCTTCCTCTTCACCACAACGGACCAGCACAGAGTCCACAATACTGCTGAAGCTGTTCTGGTCCATCTGTTGATCTTGCGCTCCATCCGTCAAAACCAGAGGTCCTTGAACTCCTCTACTGGAAGCAGAACCTCACTCCCAACCCAGGGCCCCAGCCTGGCATTTTGGGGATGAGGTGTGCTTCCCAGAGACGCCACGTGATGTGCAGTGACTGGGGATCGAACCTGGGACTTTCGGGTCCCAAGCCGGCTGCCCTGCCTCTATAACCCGGTGCTGGACCAGAACCGTCCTGCAGAACTTTGTCTCTGACCACACGGACCTTAAAGACCTGCAGAAAAGCAGCAAAGCCTTGATGAAACCTTGAGTGCTTCAAGGATCTGGTCTTCTGAAGTTCTGCAGCTCCCACAGATTTATTTGTCTCGACCCTGAGAGGACGTTTGAAGGCAGAACTGTGGAGGTGAAGCCAGCGAGGAACTCCACCGAGGTCAGCGGAGGGAGATAACTGATGTTTCAGGGCCAGGACTTGAAAAGGTCTCCAGCTGGGTTCAGGAGATCCGATCCAGATGTGCTGCTGTGTCGCTCAGAAAACACAACCACAAGACGGATTCCTCGTGGTTGGACCTGCGCTGCCGCCACTTCCTGCTGCCGCCACTTCCTGCCGCTGTCACTTCCTGCTGCTGTCACTTCCTGCTGCTGTCACTTCCTGCTGCCA